ATAATCTTAATAGGTTACATTCATGCTAACTTAATTACCTTTACTTCCCACTGAAAATAATGGAAATGATAATCATGCCATTTATTTTATTACTTACTTTTTGAAGATCTTACTTTTTTTGAAGATCTCCAGAGGTCCAGAAGAGGCTGACCCACTGGTAGAGAAGCCAAAGTGTTTTATTCAGATGATGGCAAATCTGTAAGAATGTGAAATCTAAGAAAAACATTTTTACCAGCTTCTGAATAAAAGACTTCAGCCGGGGCCATGTGGCCAGCAGGCCTAGGCCTGGAAGCAGCAGCTTCCTGCTTCAGGGATTGAGGCAGCAACAGCAGCAGCCAATGAAAGGGGAGGTAGCTTCCTTTGTCTCATTGGGCTGAACTGCAAGGCCCTTGTTGATTGGTTGCCATGGCCCAATCCCTGAAGCTGCTCATTCGAATTAGCCAGTCAGCAGCAAGCAGACTGGGCCCAAACTAAGCCTGACCAGACTGGGTAAAAACTAAGCCTGGCAGAGAAGCTGAAGTCTTTTATTCAGATGGGGAAAGCTATTTTCCTTACATCTCACATTCTTATAGCTTCACCAACTTCTGAATAAAAGACTGGCTTCTCTGCCACCTGGCTTAGCCTCTTCTGCAACTCTTTCGAAAAGTAAGTAAAGCCATGGGAAATGGGGTGGGGAGGGCGGATCAGGGCCAGGAACCCTCCATTTCGGCCTGTAAGAGGCTGGGGAAGCCCTAGGAAGGCCTGGATGGGGCCTGGAAGGGCAGATCGGGGCCAGGGACCCTCCATTTCAGCCTTTAACAGGCCGGGGAGCCCTAGGAAGACCCTGTAACAGGCTGTTATTGCTGGCAAACAGGCAAAGGAAGGCTCACCAGACAGGCAAGTAGCTGGGCCACAGGGAAGGCCACAGGGAAGGCAGGCTAGCAAGCTGGGCCACATCCCTCTGCACCCTGTTTTGGGCCTAGGAGGCCTCCCTGAAGCCTCCTGAGAGTGAAAATGGGCTGTGGGGGGTGCACCATTTCCCTGCTCCCCGTTTTGGGCCTAATAGGCCTCCCTGCACTTACATGAGAACCAAAATGGGGCACGTGGGGACTCCTGGAAGGGACGGGGTGGGGCAGGGCCAGCCAGCAATTTAACTACTGGTTTGCCCAAACCGGCCTGAACAGGCTGAATCACATCATGTCAGGGTTCCAGAACAACCCAACTCCAGTAGAAAATTCCGAGACAAGCATCATCTCAAAACTTTCATTTATTGGAATAAAAATTTGAGAGTTCCAGGTTTTCCCTCAGTAAATCAAAACCCCAAATCCAACCCCTGCACCCATCAGTCCATCACATGGCCCAATCACCATCCATCCCAACTTGAGCCATCACTGCAACCACTCCTCCTCCAGATGCAGGAAAACCATGACCTTGACTGAAGGGAAGAATGCTATTATGTCTAACTACAATCACTCTACTGAATCCTCCCTCCTACTTTCCCAAGTGCAAAAAGTTGGCAGCGTGGAAGCTTCTGGTGTTAATATGGCTTCCAAAGCTGACACACCACTGAATATAATGGAACTAAATGTGACATGACAATATTTTATTTTTTACTCCTTTTTATGCGCTTCCCACTCTATGGTTCCAACTCCATGTGGCTGTCCCGGCTCCCAGAAGACTCAACAGTAGGCAGCTGGCCTGACCGGCTTCTTCTCCGCTTCCAGCGGCTTCCAGCTGGGGTTTGGAAACCACAGAGGAAGCCATCTTCAGTGTTCAGATGGTGGCGGCAGTAGCGCGGTCTCCCCATGCAGAGCTGCAGCTGACTTCGCCCTTCGCCATCTCTCTGGCCCGGCTGCCATAAGACTCTCTGCCCCGGCTCCTGGAAGACTTGGCAGCAGGTGGCTGGTCTGACCGGCGTCTTCTCTGCTTCCAGGGGCTTCCAGCCAGGTGCTCACCAGCTTCACCCAATGAACATGGTGAGGCCTGGGAGGCGTGCAAGCGGGGGAGGGAACAGGTGCTCGCTCAGCTTGGCACCTTTGGGCCACTCGCGTTCTCTCCCCACAGGATGGGCACAGGCAGGGCTTGATGGCGCACAGAGGGAGCCTCTCTCTGCTGGGCCCCCCTGATAATAATAAGGCCAAGCCCTTATTTCGTGGTTCAAAAGAAATTAAGACTGTCTTATTTTCGGGGAAACACGGTAGTTAGAAAATTATCATATATTCCATACCGACCTTGAATACTATTGCCTTCAGTCTGTATATATTTGAAAGCTACATTTTATAATTTTAAATAATTTTAAAAGTTTAAAGTTAAGGATGCTTTTAATAAAGAATTAGTAAAAATTAATACCAATAAAGTTACTACGAGTGTTCATATTTCTATTTGCTCTGTGCTTGTTGACTATACAATTACAACTGTTCAATCAATCAGAATAGAGCTGGAAGAGGCCTTGGAGTTATTCTAGTCCAGTCCAGCTCAAGCAGGAGACCTATACCATTTCAGACAAGTCACTGTCCAATCTCTTCTTAAAAACCCCCAGTGATGAAACTTCTGAAGGCAAACTCTTCCACTGGTTAGGAAGTTTCTCCTTAATTCCAGGTTGCTTCTCTCCTTGAATAGTTTCCATCCATTGTTTCTTGTCCTGCCCTCTTGTGCTTTGGAAAATAAATTGACCACCTCCTCTTTGTGGCAGCCTCTCAAATACTGGAATATTGCTATGTCCCCCACTAGTTCTTCTTTTCTCTAGACTAGCCAAACCCAAATCCTGCAACCATTCTTCATATGATTTAGTTGCTCTTCTTTGTGCTGTTTCCAAAATCTCAACATCTTTTTTGTAATGTGGTGACCAAAACTAGATGTAGTATTCCAGGTGTGTCCTTACTAAGACTTTATAAAGCAGTAGTAATACTTCATGTGATTTAGATTCTATGCCTCTACTTACACAACCAAGGATTGTATTAGCTTTTTTGGCTGCTGCCAACACTACTAACTCACTGCTAGTCCGTCCACTAGGACTCCAAGGTCCCTCTCATATTTACTTTTTTAAATCAGGTTTTGCCCAGGTGTAAAACCTTGCTTTTATCCAAGATAAATTTCTCTTGTTGGATAAGGCCCATTGTTCAAGTCTGTAAAGATTTTTTTTGGATCCTGAGCTTGTCTTCTGTGATGTTGGCTATTCCTGTCAGCTTAGTGTCATCTGAAAATTTGATGAGTTCCCCTTCTAGTCCATCATCTAAGTCATTTATGAAGATATTGAAGAGTACTGGGCCTAAGATGGAACCTTTTGGTACCCCACTGCTTCCTTCCTTCCATGTAGATGTAGTATTGTTAAAAACTACTTGTGAATATGGTTTGTCAGCCAGTTACAATTCCATCTGGTAGTGATGCTGTCTATCCCACATTTACATTCTGATACAAAAAATTCGTATTAAAATAACACTGTCAGGGTTCCAAGTAATACCCCCAATGAAAGAAGACTCCAAGGCTTGAGTTTCCTCAAAGTTCCTTTTTATTGAAGATGTCATATTGGCACATCTGGGAAAACCCGAATCTGAAAGTTTCCAAACTGGAGGCACCTCCCAGTCATCCGACTCCAGGTGCCAGGGCAAGGCATCCTTGACTCTCTGAGAAAGGAATTTTATTTTGACTACATATCACCCATACTCTATGAAATCCCCCCTCCCATTTTCCCACAAAAGAAAATGTGGCAGTCCTGAAGGCCCAAATGTAAAAGATGGCTTCCAGGTCTGACAAACACATTATAATAAAAATATTTAAAATATTTCAGAAATAAACATGTACAAGTTATTTTACTGTTGAAATATATTTTTAAGAAAACTTTGGAAATGTTTCTATAACTATAAAAAATAGTTATTTGACTTCTTTGAGATTCTATGAAAGCTCTTTCATAGAATTGGCTATCTTGTTTTAGAAATAAAATTAATGGTTATAAAGTTATTTCCACTACTACTGTATATATCCACTAATATATTTCCTTAGTACCAATTAAAAAGAATGTAGAACTTAAAACAACATCTATTTTTTCCTGTAATGTCTATTTCATCTTCTCTCTAAAACCTTTAGTGACTAAAATCCACATGTGTATATCTGTCTTAAAAAATGGAACTATTTTAGAAAAAGCAAACAGAAATAGGTCCTACCTTTGGAGTAGATTTTTTTTAAAAAAGAACCTATTATATTTTGGGTCATACAAAGTCAGTACCACACTTTATTTGTCAGGGTAAATGTCTAACTTCACCATAATCACAGGCCCAGGGCCATGCAAGGGTTAACCGATCACACATCCCATCATCCCCTTAACCACACCTTACCTTTAGGCTCCTCCCCCTAGGTATAAGAACTCTCCCCACGTGGAGATCGATGAGATCCAAGAACGTACCTGTAAATGGAAAGATCTGATGTCAGTAAGTGCTATGCTTGATAGGCCTGGAACAAGCCAGGCAAGAAATAAAAGATACCTGAAACTTATAACTACTTGTCTTTTGAGTTATTGGGCTAGATCCATTCTATATCATTATTTAGGTAAAATCATAGCATTGTAATAATTCAGATTTAATCATCTATACTGGATATATGCCTACAGCTCTAAATGCACAAATCATTGATACTAGTTTTTATTATATAAAGACATTTCAATCTATTTGTATTCAAAATCTATATATTATGAGATAAAGGCTAACAGTAAGGGGAGGAATAAAAAATGAGGGTAACTATATAAGCTGATATTGTAGAAGGTCTTTTATAAAAGTTATTTTATATTTAGAAAGTATTTGATCTGTGATTTTAAGATGGTTTCAGATTATCTGTGAGAAAGAAGAAGACAATCTAGAAACTTTCCACCTGACAAGCCTTGAGCAAAAAAAAAAAAATGTATTTCCTTACTTAGAATCTTCATGCGAACATTCCTCCTAGTAGATGATAATATTGAAATTTTATTTATACTCATTCAAACAAAGAACTAAAATGAAAGGAATGCATAATTCTTATGTTTTGTCTTATAGCCTTTGCCAAAAGAGTATCACTTTGGTAATAATTTTGGATATGTGGTAGCTTTCAAGTCCTTTGATCAAAATGATTGGAAAAGTGTTATAGTTCCTCAACCTGAAATTGGTCGGTATGTCCATAAGGATGAATCAATGCTTCCTTCATCAAAGTATCAAGTAAAGGTGAAAGCATTTAATAACAAAGGGGAAGGACCTTTTAGTCTTACTGCTATTATCTATTCGGCAGAAGATGGTGAGTAAAAGATGGTGTGATGAAAGTTAAGAATAGGTTTTGTTATGCTTGCTGCAATGTACAAAAAATAATTCTCATGTAAACAGTCTAATTCCTAAGATCTATTTCCAAAGATAATTAAGTTGACTGCTCACATATCTGAGTCAATTCTGACCTGTAATATCAGAGGAATCCATTTTTCTTGGATGAATTGAAAGTAGAACTGAGCCCAAGGATGTCTGCCATGAGAAGAAAGCAAAATTCAGGAAAGTGCATGTCATGATAATTCATGTTTTAAGTGAATATCAAATAAAGCAATGTATTATAAAAGTTTCAGATTGTTAGGCCATCTCAGGTTAATTAACATTTCTGTATAAAAAATCAATTTTCTATTATTTTACTGAGCATATTGCAATGCAAGCCAAGCTTCTGCATCTCTGGAAATACACTAAAATTCTAAATGTAATAAAATCACTAGTATAAAAAGTTAATTTAAATACCTTTCCATACAAGATTATTCAGTTTTATTTATGAAATTAAATAAAATTGAAATTTATGAACATTTTCATCCAATATATAATTGTTTCCTCTGAGCAGTAACTACTTGATGCCTATTTGACTGAGTGCCCAGTTACAGGATTAAATATATGAAAGGTTTTTTTGAGCTTTTATGTTGCAACTTGCTAAAAAAAGATCTTCAGAAGAGCATTAATAATAATAATAATAATAATAATAATAATAATAATAATAATATAATAATAATTATTATTATTATTATTATTATTATTTTATTTCTATACCGCCCTTCTCCCGAGGGACTCAGGGCGGTGTACAGCCTATTTAAAAACACAGACAAAACAGCAATTAAAATTTAAAATAATTAAATAAATTGGCTCTGATTTAAAACCCCAAAAAATTTAAATACCCCAATTTAAAACTATTATGTTGATAGTCCGGCCTGGCGGAACAACAGGGTCTTCAGTGCGCAGCGAAACACCCGGAGGTCGGAGATCTTACATATTTCCGGGGGCAGTTCGTTCCACAGGGCTGGGGCTCCCACAGAGAAGGTCCTCCCCCTGGGTGTCGCCAGCCGACATAACTTGGCCGATGGCACCCGGAGGAGACCCTCTCTGTGGGAGCGAACTGGTCGGTGGGAGGCTATTGGTGGCAGAAGACGGTCTCGGAGGTACCCGGGTCCTATGCCATGGAGCGCTTTAAAGGTGGTAACCAACACCTTGAATCGCACCTGGAAGACCACTGGGAGCCAGTGCAGCTCGCGCAGGAGGGGTGTCACATGGGCACAACGAGTTGCGCCCATAACCACCCGCGCGGCCGCATTCTGGACCAGTTGGAGCCTCCGAGTGCTCTTCAAGGGGAGCCCCATGTAGAGAGCATTACAATAGTCCAACCGGGAAGTAACAAGGGCATGAGTGACCGTGCGCAGGGTGTCCCGATCCAGAAAGGGCTGCAACTGGCGAATCAGGCGAACCTGATAAAAGGCCCCCCTGGCCACGGCTGTCATATGCTCTTCTAAAGACAGCCGCGCGTCCAGGAGGACACCCAGATTGCGAGCCCTCTCTGTGGGGGGCAAAGATTCACCCCCAATAGTCAGCGATGGCACCTGCTGACTATATCGGGGCGCCGGAAGCCACAGCCACTCGGTCTTGGAGGGGTTGAGTCTGAGACCCGCACGGCCTCCAGGCAGTGAGACATCACATCAAGGGCATCGTTGGGGTGGTCTGGGGTGGAGATGTACAGCTGAGTATCATCAGCGTACAGATGGCACTTCACCCCAAAACCACGGATGATCTCACCCAGCGGCTTCACATAAATGTTGAACAGGAGGGGCGAGAGGACCGACCCTTGCGGCACTCCCCATGCGAGACGCCTCGAGGTCGACCTCTGTCCCCCTGCCAACACGAACTGCGAGCGGTCGGAGAGGAAGGAGGAGAACCACCGCAAAACGGTGCCCTCTATTACTAACCCCCTCAATCGCTGCAGCATGATACCATGGTCGATGGTATCAAAAGCCGCTGAGAGATCTAATAGGACTAGGACAGAGGAGCAACCCCTGTCTCGAGCCTTCCAGAGATCATCCACCAATGCGACCAATGCCGTTTCTGTGCTGTACCCCTGCCTGAAGCCCAACTGGTACGGGTCTAGATAGATAGCTTCATCCAGGTGCCGGGGAAGTTGTCGTGCCACCACGCTCTCAACAACCTTCGCCACAAAACGAAGGTTGGAGACTGGACGATAGTTGGCTAATTCAGCCGGGTCCAGGGAAGGCTTCTTGAGGAGGGGCCTCACTACTGCCTCTTTCAAGGCGGCAGAAAAGGCACCCTCACTCAGAGAAGCACCTATAATCCCCTGGAGCCAGCCTCGTGTAACCTCCCGGGAGGCCAGTACCAACCAGGAGGGACATGGGTCCAATAAACACGTGGCGGCACTAATCTTATCCAGAACCCTGTCCACATCCTCGGGAGTCACAGGATCAAACTCCTCCCAGATAACATTCTCAAGACCTGCCCTGGTCTCCTCCCGTGGACTCATCCAATCGGAGTCCAAGCCATCCCGAATCCGAGCGACTTTATTGTGCAGGAATTGCACAAAATCCTCAGCACGACCCTGCAAGGGATCTTCCCGCACTCCCCCCCGAAGAAGGGAGTGGGTCACCCTAAACAGGGCGACTGGGCGGTTCTCTGCAGATGCGATAAGAGCGGAAAAATGGTTAGATTTTGCCGCTTTTATCGCCACTAGGTAGGTCTTGATATAAGACCTCATCTGTGTCCAGTCGGAATCGGATTGACTAGTCCTCCAAATGCTCTCTAGGCGTCTTTTCCGACGCTTCATCTCTCTCAGCTCCTCAGAGAACCAGGGAGCTAATTGAGATCGGCATCGGGTCAGAGGCCGCAAAGGCATGACGCGGTCCAAAGTTCCAGCGGCCACCCTTTCCCAGGCGGCCACCAGCTCTTCAGTCGAGTCGTGTGTTAGAGTCTCAGGAAACGGCCCAAGCTCCTTCAGGAACCTTTCGGGATCCATCAGGCGCCTGGGACGGAACCATCTGGTCAGTTCCGTCTCCCTGCGGCGGGGGGCAGGCAGTAGGAAAGTCTAATTGAAGGAGTGAATGATCTGTCCATGACAAGGGTTTAATATCTAGGTCCCCTCTACCAAGATCATTCAACCACTGACCAGAGATAAAAATCAAGTCCAGAGTGTGTCCCCCTATGTGTTTGGGCCTTGAACTAACTGGGTCAGGTCCAAGGCCGTCATGGAAGCCATGAACTCCCGAGCCACCTCTGACGCCTCACCCGCGGATGGGAGGTTGAAATCCCCCATGACAATAAGTCTGGGGGTATCGACCGCCACCCCGGCAATGATGTTGAGTAGCTCGGGCAGGGTCGCTGCCACGTGGCAGGGAGCCAGGTACGTAGTCAGCAAACCCATCTGCACCTCACGGCCCCACTTCACACAAAGGGACTCACATCCGGCTATCTGAGGAACAGTGGTCTCCCTCGGACAGAGACTCTCCCTAATGATCACCGCCACTCCCCCACCCCTCCCCTGGGCCCTTGGCTGATGAAATGCACGGAAACCTGGCGGGCAAATCTCGACGAGGGGGACCCCCCCTCTTGGCCCAACCAGGTCTCTGTAATACCTGCCAGGTCTGCACCCCCCTCCAAAATAAGATCACAGATGAGGGGGGCTTTATTAACCACCGACCTGGCATTACATAACATCAGCCGCGGACCCTGGGCCTGAGGCTCTACACAACCCAGGACACGAGTCACGCATTGGGGACCGGAGTGCACAATCGCTCGGAGACAGCGCGTGTGTACCCCCGACACTTGATATGACCCCCTGCGCCCATCATACCTGCCCCTCCCACTCATTATTTCAATTACACAGCCCTTTCTATCGTCCCCCTGCCCCCCGGTTAAATTTCCTTTCGCGACCCCTCTGCTGCAGCTAATCGACCCATCATCCCGCGCAGTCGCTATCTGGACCCCCCCAGGTCCACTTTTACAACCCCCACCCGCCCTCCCGGGTCCCCTTAAAATTTTCCTTAAAAATTTAGCTAAAAAACCCCTCAACCCCCTCTTTGCTGCATGCCATCTCTCGGGGTCCCAAAGCCCGTCATCAAGATAGGCCCTCGATAACATGGAGGGCCAGGCCTGCGAGAGGGGGGAGTCTCGCAGCGCAAGAAGGTCGGTTGATCTTTCCATCACAAATGAATTTTTATAGACATTGGACTGCCTTCAGTGAATTGTGTTCACGAGTAGGTTAATATTTTCTTTTAAAAATATTTAAATAGAGCAGCAGCATCTGTTTAATGTAGTTAATCTTGAATTAATCAAAATGCAACAAGCAATTCAAAAATTAGTTTTATATATGTGTGTGTGTGGTATGTATGTATGTGATGAATGATCTAGTAAAGTCAAAACTATAGGACACCCAAACTGTTTGCATTTATTCTGTCTATAACAAAAAATAAACCACACATTTTAGGCACTTGGGGAAATTCAATAATTGCACCTAACCATCACTGCACATTTAGATACATAATTTGGATACTAAAAAAAGAATTATTCATTCAATGCCTAATCAATGGTTATTTCATAAAAACATCTATATCTCTCTCTCTGCAATATACTAGTACTTCGTTTCTTTATGATGTTAGTGAGAAACTACTATGTTTCTCCAAAAATAAGACCCTGTCTTATATTTTTTTTGAACCCTGAAATAAGCGCTTGGCCTTATTGCCATGCGCTCAAAAGCCTGATTGGTCTTATTATTGGGGATGTCTTATTTTGGGGAAAACATCAGGAATTTTGTGAATCAGGAATTTTGTGAATTTATATATTCACACATTTTTTAAAATTTACATACAGTAGGTTTGGTATTTGATTATTTTAAATGGTTCATAAATCTCCTTTTCAGAGTTCAAGGCAACTTGCTTAAGTAGAAACAAAATGAAAGATAAAACTGGCAGGTTTCTTGCCATAATTTCAGAAGTGGCTTGCCATTGTTTCTTCCTAGGGCTAAGGGCAAGTGACTGGCCCAAAGTCACCCAGATGACTTAATCTGGTTGCTAAAGGCACCAGACTAGAAACTGGAAGAAATATTGACCACACTGCCAAAGAAAACACCAAATGAAATAATTGGAAATCCTTGATTATTTACTCTACATTAGTCAGAATATTGGATTCACAATATTAATATTCTGTTCAATTTTCCAGCTCCTACTGAAAGGCCTAGAAATGTGAAAATAAAAGTTCTGTCATCCATGGAAGTTTCTGTTTCCTGGGAGCACATTTTCAATCCAGTTGTTACTGGGTATGAGGTGAGCTTAAAAATGCATTCTCTTTTATTACTCATACCACAAGATACAAAAGAACTGAACATGATATTTAATTCATATTTATTTTTATAGTCAAAAAGTGTATCTGAGTTTGAAATGAATTATAAATACAAGAATAGCTTTGGAGAATTAGATACTTCTGCCCTTTACTATTCCTGAAGTTTCTGTCTATATAAAAATACTATAGTGATTCATAAATGATTAAACAAATAATTACCAGAAAATGCAATAATGGAAATACAAGTAGCTTCTGACTTATGACCCATTCTCATTCTCCCATTCAGAAGAAATTACTTGACACTTCCATAGTTGTCATCTAGACATGCTAAATACAAGAGGTTTTATCTGCAATGCCTTATTGAAAGGATTAGTACAAACCACAGTCCTGTAGTAAAAGGAGACATTAGGTGTATGAGCCAACCTGTTCTCAACCTGAAACAACTGGCAGGAGGAGGAATAACTCTTAAATGTACAAACTTTTTTCTCCTGTCAACCTGCCAAAACCAAATTTTCTATTCCCCATCACTTCTGAGATGTTGTACTAATAAATCCCTTTCACCCATCTCTTCCCACTTATGACTGTAAACTTGTTGCTAGTATCCTTACAATTTATTTTGACTGTTTCCTAATATGATTTGATTGCTTGACTATCACTAAGTGTTGTACCTTATGATTCTTGACAAATGTAATTTTTCTTTTATGTACACTGAGAGCATATGCACCAAGAAAAATTCTTTGTGTGTCCAGTCACACTTGGCCAGTAAAGAATTATATTCTATTCTATTGTATTCTAAATCAGTAAAATATTTTAAAAGGAAAGTATAGAGGTAGTTCTTGACTTACACAACTGAGCCCAAAAGGAAAGTATAGAGGTAGTTCTTGACTTAAAACAATTGAGCCCAAAATTTCTGTTGTTACGTGAGTTTTGCCCCATTTTACAACCTTTCTTGCCACAATTGTTAAGTGAATCACTACAGTTGATAAGTTAGTAACCTGGTTGTTAAGTAAATCTGGTTTCCCCATTGACTTTACTTGTCAAAAGGTCACAAAGGCCCACATAGCCTTGGGACACAACAGTCATAAATATGAACCAGTTGCCAAGCATCTGGTTTTGATCACATAATCATGGGGATGCTACAAAGGTTGAAAACGGTCATAAGTCACATTTTTCAGTGCCATTGTAACTTTGAATGGTCACTAAATGAACTGTTGTAAGTAGAGGACCTGTACTCGCCCACCTAGAATCTCTTAGCCAAATATCAAAGAAGCAGGAAATCTTACACCATTACTTACCTGGCAAATTGGATATATCCCTGGAGTGAAAATCACTTCCCTTTGGCTATTACTTCCCAGTGTTTGTTCTATCTTTAGGAAGCCTTGGGTGACTTAAAGCTTTCTCCCAACAGCTCCAGGCTCTTGCTTTGGGAAGATCCCCAATCATTTTGCTCATGCATGCATGCATGCCCCTCTACCAAGGTTGTAATGACTCTTCTAAAGTGATTCCTCCAAAAGGATTCAATCTAAATAGTGGAGTTGCTGGGAGTAAAGAGTATTCCAGGAAAAAAATGTCCTACCAGTTTCTATGACCGAAAGATGCTGTTTAAAAAGCAAATGGACTTTCTTAGTTTTTTCCTTGAAAATGTTTTGATTCTCATCCAAGAAGCTTCTTCAGTTCTGAAGTCAAGAAGCTTCTTGGATAAGAAGCAAAATGTTTTCAAGGAAAAGAACAAGAAAAACCAGTTACCTTTTAAACAGCATCTTTGGGGCTGTCCGAAAGATGCTATTTAAAAGGTAACTGGTTTTTCTTGTTCTTTTCCTTGAAAACATTTTGCTTCTGGATGATTGTGTCATTTCTACATCATATCCTGCCATTCTGTTTGAAGCAGGGCGGGGGTGGGAAGAATGGCTTGCTGGCATTTTTCTCATGCTTTTGCTTTTGCTATAACTCTTTGGAATTAGGGAGGGGGATTGTCTTCTGAGACAGAGCAAACTTCCTCTCAGCTGGTTCCAGCCTGGTTTCAAGGCCGTCATACCCTGAGAGTGGACCATTATCTGCCTAACACCTCAGAGTTCTCAAAACAACCTTGCGGCATCACATTGGCTGCTGGTGGACTGGCCAGGGGGTTGGTTTGGGGATGAAAGAATTGCTTTGTACTTTGCGTGGGCTTTTTCAGATTCGACCTGACTATACTGCAACCACACTCTCTCAGTAAAAGTTTTTATGATTCTTGAGTCAAGAGTCTTGCTTTTCTGAGGGACCAGCTAGGGCAGCGGGGCAGGTCCTTACAGACTGAGAATCTTAGTTTTTCTGTTTCTCCTGCTGAGTTAGTTCTAAAATCTGGTATGTTTTTAAATATAAGTTTCCATTGCTTTTGAAATAATTAGGAGTAATTATTTCAAATATATATTTCCTTTTACATTTGACTTTTTTTTTCATTTTTACAGATCAGTTACTGGTCCAGCAGTGAAAAAGAAATAGCTGCAAGTAGAGTGCAAGTGAGCAGTCGGAATTTTTCAGTAATGTTAGAAAACCTGAAACCTTATACAAAATACTATACAAAAGTTGCAGCTTTCAATGCAGCTGGCATTGGACCTTACACTTATCCTTTGGATTTTGTTACAGAAAAAGCACGTAAGTATCTAAAGTAGGAGATGGAGATGAATAGTAAAGATAATATCAGATGGACATAGAATAAAGGAAACTTATATCTGTAGACTTCATCAGACAACACAATTTGTCTTAAAACTCCTTGTTCAAGGATGAGCTCAATGTAAAATGTCTGGGAGCTTGAAATAGTCCATTTTTGGTTTGTGGATATTGTAATGTTTTAATTACCTTAAATTAATTTTTTTCATATGGAATTGCCAGTTTGTCTAAATGTACTCAGTCATTGATGGTAAATTATGCATATTGGTAGATACACAAACCTCTGGTGTGAACAGTATCATCTTGGCTGCATAGTTTTGCTTCTCTTCCATAGATCACTGTGACGTGGTCTGCAAATGCTGGACAGTAGCTGCATAAGATTTGGTGACAATTTTTAAGCAAGAGGAAGCTATGAATAATTGTATAAATCAGAATGGGAAGTAGATAGTAGATGATATCATTCTGAATTTTACTTGGGGACATAAATAGACAAATGTGTATGACTGAGAGAATAATGTTTATAAAATTTAATTGTACTGGTTAGAATAAAGGTATGTGCTATTTTTTTTTAGCTCCAAGGCAGCAACCAAGAATTATTAATGCTGTAAGGTCGGGTTCAAAGTACATCATCACATGGGAGCATGTTAAGTCACAGTCCAATGAATCTACTGTGAAAGGATATAAAGTAAGATTGATATTTAAGCCTTTTGGGCATAACTGGGTAATACTGGCTGTTTTGTTGCCCTATTTGAATTGTGTGTTCATAAAGTAAATTGCTATTTAAAAGGAAGAGAGTTAAGTGATATTTAAGAAAGGATATCTTAGAGTTAGACCATAAAAAGCAAACTTTGGTTCCAGTGAATACAGGAATCTTATGAAATTTCTTTTCTTTTTTTTTTTATTGCAAAAGTTTTACAATTACATTTTCACCCCTTTCCCCCCCTCCACCCCCCCAAACTTCCCCATCTTCCCCAACCCTCCCTAACCCTCCTCTCCCCCCAGACTTCCCTATAATATACTCATAACTCGTAAAAAAAAACACATTAAAAAAACCCTTAATATGACACTTAAGTATAAACTTGAACCCCTCCCTCCCCTGTATAATTTTTCTCTTTACCTCATTACATTAAAATATTTCTAATACATTATTTTCAAGTAAAAGCTATTTGATACTTTCTAGTTTGATATTTGTTCTGAACATATTCTATCCACCTTTTCCATTCCCATTCATAAGTCTCTTGTGAACAATCTTTTAAGTATGCTGAAATCTTCGCCATCTCTGCAAAACTGGCCATCTTCAAAATCCATTCTTCAATAGTGGGCAAAGCTTCATTTTTCCAATATTTGCCTATCAACAATCTTGCTGCTGTTATCATATACAATATCAATTTTGTTTCACCCGATGTAAAACCCTTAACTATACCCAATAAAAACAATTGTGGAGAGAATTGAATTTTTTTCTTCAAAACATTCTGCATGACCCACCAAATTTTTATCCAAAAAGCCTTAACTTTCCTACAGGTCCACCAAACATGATAATACGTAGCATCCAAACATTCACATCTCCAACATTTTGGCTGAACATTAGGGTACATACATGACAACTTTTTGGGATCTAAATGCCATCTATAAAACATTTTATAGAAATTTTCCCTCAGGTTCTGCGACTGTGTAAATTTAACATTCTGAACCCAAATTTTTTCCCATGTTTCCAACATCACTGGTTCTTCAAAATTTTGTGCCCACTTAATCATACAGTCTTTAACTAATTCAGTTTCTGAGTCCCTTTCTAGCAAAACATTATAAAGCCTTTTGATATGCATTGGACCTTTCTCTCTTATATGTCTAACCAATTCTTCCTCGTGCAACATAATACCAGTTTTTTGGTCCTCTTTCCATCTCAATTGTAATTGATTATATTGTAACCAAGTTAAATTAATCCCTTCGTCCAACAGTGTCTGCAATGTCTTCAGCTGCCATCTGCCCGCATCTGTAAAAAGAACCTCTTTGTATAAAAACCCCCCGAGTGACATTATATTTGTATTCCACAAAGTATGACCAAGCGGTATTTTATAATCCCATTTGAGTCGATGCTTCTTCCAAACTCTCATCAAAGAGTCTCTAAGTATATGACTTTTAAATACTTTATCAACTTTGTCATCATAAAATAAGTAAGCATGCCATCCAAATTCGAGATCAAAACTTTCTGCATTCAATATTCCAGTCTTTTTCCTTCCAAACCAATCACTTGTTAAATTTAAAGCTGCTGCATCATAATATAACTGTAGGTTTGGAAGTTTAAGACCTCCTCTTTCTGGAACATCTTGCATAATTTTCAATTTCACTCTCGGCTTTTTCTCGTTCCAGACAAACTTATTCACACCAGTTTGCCAGACTTTCAATTGTTTATCACTTTTGAGCACCGGAATCATTTGAAACAAAAAAAGAAATCTTGGCAAAATGTTCATCTTAACTGCTGCAATTCTTCCAAGTAGAGACAGCTGCAGTTTTTTCCAAATCTCCATGTCTTTCTGCACCTCTCGCCACAACACCTCATAATTATTTTGAAACAATTTCATGTTTGATTCTGCAACCTGAACTCCTATATATTTTACCTTAGGTACAGTCTCAAAACCTGCCCTCCTTTCTAGCTCATGTTTGCGATCTTGTGTCATATTGTTAGCTATCATTTTAGTCTTTTTTGGATTCTGTCTAAAACCTGAAACTTTACCATAGTCTTGTATAATGTCCTTCATCAAGATTATTGATTCCATTGGTTGTGATAGGGTAACAACCAGATCATCTGCAAATGCCTTTATTCTATAATCCTCTTGCCTAATCATTATACCTTTCAAGATATTAGAGTCCCGTATTGTATTTAGCAAGACTTCTAATGTTAGAATAAATAAAAGTGGGGACAACGGACACCCGTTATGAAATTTCTCTCAAGATCTATTATATTGATAATTCAGCTAATTCTTAGAAATTACCTTCTAATATGAGCCTTGACAAGATATAAAAATAGCTATAAGGCAGAGAAACATACCTATGAGTTCTTATTCTCTTACACTAATAAGTGTAAGAGTAATCAATCAACTTTTGTATTAGTATCTATTATGCTCAGAGCTGATTCATCTTCTGTATGATGACATACATGTCACTTCTTTTCAGTGGTGGAAAGAAGGAAACAGACTGGAGATCAGTGTAAACCAGGGGTCCTGGCTGGGGAATTCTGGGAGTTGAAGTCCATAGGTCTTAAAGTTGTCAAGGTTGGACATCCCTCACAGTGTGTAAGCAGCGATGGCTGAGGCAATCTATTTGGTACTTTCTTTATTTCAGCAAGAAGGAAACATTAGGAACAATGGTCTACAGAGCACAGAAAAAGAATGAACCATAAAGGAGACAGGGCATAATTGCTTCCATCTTATATCCTCATATAAGATGGAAGCAATTATATCCTCATATGAAGTGTGGAAGTGTTGCTGTTGACTTCTCATAACGGTAATTGGTTAATGCTGTTCGTATGTAATACCACCATTGTTTCCTATTCCCAGTGATCATATATAGGAAATTAATGATTTGATTTCCTGGTAGAGCCCATCCTCTTTGCCCATTACTACTTGCTCTGCTTACACCACAGAAACAACAGAAAATTTAAATATACCAGTTATGTCAGGTGTGCCTCCTTTCAATACTCAGGAAAGAAAAACCCCGACTCCATTTTCATAGAGAAAGGTACTTTTACTGAGTATGAACTGAATGCAACCATAGAAAAGCAATATCTGAAGCATAGGCGCGAAAATCACATATAGAAAGCATCCCCTCCCAACTGTCCAGCGTAAATCATCCAATCCACAGGTCCTCCAGAGATCATGTGGGAGCACACGTCAGGCAGTGTCATCCTCTTGGTATGCCCCGACCGTTGACCTTGAAACATATCAACTTCAAAGAAAGAACTGCAGCAAAGATTCACTTTCGTTTTCCTCCAGCACGCTTCCCCCCCAAGAATCCCCTAGCTCCCCCTCCCCCGTTTCCATGGCAGCCGAGCAAGTAAGCATCAAAAGAGTGGAGGCTGACAGGTTACTTAAATATAATTTACTAATGTTCTCTCCCTAAGCCTTAAAAAAGGAGTGGAAGCTTTTCACTTTTATTTACAAAAATGTATATAAAATGTAATAACATATTGATTCAAGACAGCATTTATAAATATTTTGCCCTGATTTTTTAAATAATGACCTGGAGTATTAATTTGTTGGATGATGTTTGTGAATTTAACAATGCTATTTTTTTATTATTCTCTAAAAGGTGCTCTATAGACCAGATGGTCAATTTAATGGCACACTATTTAAGACCGGTAACCATTATATAGAAGTTCCTGCACCTGTTAAAGGTCAGTACATTGTTGAAGTTCGGGTCCATAGTGAAGGGGGAGATGGAGAAGTAGCTCACGTAAAAATTCCAGGTATGTATATGAAAAAATGAAACTGTATGAAAGATGTTATTTTTTTTCTATAGTTTAAGTGTTTTAATATTTAGCTAAGTTTAAGGTTTAAAATTTTAACAGTATTTCCTGGTGTCTTTTATATAGTGGTGATAATTGGTCAAGAAATATAAAATATAAATAAATATGTACAGTAGTCATTTATTTTCAAATAATTGTCTAACAAAAAATATTTTATTTGTTTTCTAGCTAATATATCATAAATATACATTTTAGTGGTTGAGAGAAGCAAATTAGCAATTTTTCACTAATAATCCCCTTCCTAAAATCTTGCTATTCTTCCTTATTGTGTGGTTGTTCCTAGAAGGGCTGAACAAAGAATGCTGATGGCGAAGCCACCAGCAGAGTCCCATGAGGTATGAGGGTCATCCTACCAAAAAAAAAAAGTAGACACCTATATTGGGCAGCAATATAGAAGGTATTGGAGATGGATGATCACTTTAGGGGCAATAACAAAGGCATTGTTTCATACTACATGGGATAAACCTATTCTACTTTATTTTACTGAGAAAACTACGTGAACAGATTATAAAATAATCTGATTATCTGATGATGTAATGCTGGATAATGACCCCCCAGGTCTGATAGGGATCCACATTCTTCTGAGGAGCTGAGGATCTTTCAGAGTATTAACGGTATAATAATGGTTAGATTTAAATCTTAGCAATGTTCTGCTACTGATATTATCATTCAGGAAAAGAAAATCCAAAACTGACAATTTGATATTGATAGTTCATTATTGATATTGATCCTGGGGCGGTCACTCTTCCGAGCCCTAGAAAGAAGGCAATGGAAAACCACTTCCCAAAAATGTTGTCAAGAAAAACAAACTGCAGGAGCTTGTCTGTGTAGTTGTCAGGAGTAAAGTCTAATTTGAAATCACACAGAGGACAAGGTTTAGCAAATAATTAGAAAATATCTGACTATCACAATTCAGAGAATACAATTTGGGGAAGAATCTTTAGAACATCTCTGTTTTACTTGTAATCTTCCTTAATCTTCAATCTTTTGTATAAAATGTAAACCTGTTTGATTTTTCAGGAGCTGCTGCTGGAATATTACCTAGCTGTCTTGGTTTATTGTTGCCTGCCCTTGGTATCCTTATCTTTTTGGAATTCTGAATGTACCTGAACATGTCCTCAGTTTAGTGCAAAGGACTGAACCTAAAAGAAATTCTTCTTTTTTTCGATTTCTTGAGGCATTGTCCTAAGCCAAATAAATTACACTTCCAAGTAAATTATCTTCCTGACTTAACTATGGAACTTCAAGGACTGAGACACCTAGAAATTCCTTCATCAAGCAACTCAAGTTTTGAAAGTTTGAGGAATATTTTTTAACATGTTCGATTATGCCTTATGAAACACTTCTGCTGATCTGCAACAGTTGCATGATTCGGTCCAATGGGGCAAGTTACAGTGTAGTGTTAAATCTAATAATGTAAGCTGTATAGTAAAAATAAAATCACCACACATAGGTGCTTTAACTTTCATAATAAATTGTGAAAACATAATAGAGATTGAAAAATTGATTGTATGTGGTATATGTAGAAGCAACTACGTCTGTCGGTACTATCCTATCTGTTTTGTGTACTGCGTTTTTTTTTAATGGCCCCTGTCATTTATGACTTTTCAGGTTTTTAAAGATACAGTCAAAGCAAAAGCATTGCACTCATTTTACAGCTTTTGTAACTTGAAGTAAATAAATGGATTGAAAACACCAGGATGCAAGTTAAGGATTTTATTTCTGGATCTATTAATAAGTATTAACAGCAAAGGATTCCAGTACCTTAATTATATAATGGAAATTTAACTCAACATATTGTTTTAAATAATGCAAATCACAGAGAAGTTTATTTTGATGTAAAATTATCTTACTAGTGTGGGAATCACCCCCCCCCCGAAGAATGAAATATTTTGAGGAATATTAAAAAAGGCAGAATAAAATATTTCCCCCAAAAGAGAAATAAAAAATCTTAAGGAAGTCAGAAACTCAGAGCCCCAGCTCCCTGCCCCCAAGCAGATACTGGGGAGGCAGCTTTTAGAAATGCAGATTTGGTAATCCGTTGAAGACAGAATATTTTGAAATTCCCTGCAGCAAAGTCTGAACAAAGATAGGATTAGTCCTCACTCAAGATCCAAAACAAGACAAAAGCCATTAAGCCAAAATAGGAATTATTGCATCACCCATTATTGCAGTCCAAACTTCAACCAAACTTAGCTCAGACAAACACCTAGGATTTGTACTTTGCCTATAGAGCCAGCTATAACCCTTAAATAATCCCTACATGGCACCATGGGGTCTGACAACAACCAATAGAATACATGTTCTTAAACAGGAACAAGAGCTCAAGTGCAAAGCCCAAGAGAAAGTATAAAAACCCCTCACTCTCAACTCCATTATGTCAGTTGCACCAGAACCACAAACATGTGGTCCTAGTCATCAATAAATGGGCCCTCTTTTCAATCAGCCTCCAGCCTCCATTTTGTCTCCAGTGCCTTTCTCCTGGATTGGAACTGAACCAGATGGATATTTCTTCCCACAATAGCTATATAAACAAATTTACTTTTAGTATTTTATCTAAATGTAATTGCCACATTTGAATAAATTGACTTCTATCCAAATACATAATTTAGATTTTAATATTGCAGACACCTTATTTTGCTCATTATAAATATGGAAATTTGAAAAGTAATTACCTGATTGCATAAATATTGACATGAGTATAGTATTTAAAATAATGTTTAAAAATCAAAGCAAATGCTGTAATAATAAATAAATATGCAGTAAAAAGAAAACACATTAGCAGTTAACAAAATCTATCTGAAAGGATTTTTTTTCCCTCTGAGACACATATGGCTTTCTTTTAGTGAAGGCCAACCTGGAGGAAAATGATTTGCATTTTCCAATAAATTAACATTGTTTTACTTCCTAGAGTTGTAAATAAGAGTTGTAATGTCCTAATCCAATTTTCCCAATTTAATTATCCCAAGAGATAGATTCATTACAATTCAAAAATAGAGCTCAAATATTGTTTCCTTCAAATATGTTTTCAAATTTAGGGTTCCCACAAAAGATAAAGAATGTCTTTGTTCTGACTGTTTGTTCTATGCGGTATTTAAATTTTTAAAAAAGGAATACTTACTTCTTTCAGAAACTATGGTGTATTGAGAATTTGATATGAATTAAAAGAAAAAAACTGCTCAAGTTATACTGAATCATTGGCTCAAGTAATAGTGCAAGTGTCTGATGCTTCCAGTATTATAAACTTGGAGTCATTATTTTATTAGCAGAGCTTTGCTAGCTGATTTAGAAATAGAATTTAACTTTTTAGAACTGATATTGTAGATGCCCATAATGATACCATCCATGTGAAGCAAGAACAGATCTGTCAGTACTTTACACTCGTTCTTTAATTTGTATGACTTTGTATTATATATTTACATTTTAAAACTCTAGACTCTTCATGCAAAATATCAATATTTTATCAATGTTTTACTTTTGTTATAGTTTAAAACTTTTTTAAACAGTAGGTCAAAGGATAATTTCTTTTTAACTGAATGTTAGAAGATTAATAAATGTTATTCATAATTATATACTTATTTGAAGAAACTAAAGTTCATGCATAAGAAACTAATGTCTTTGGGAGTCTTCTATATATTTTGTTTTGGTTCACTTTTATGCAAGGTATCTCATATTTTATATAACTTACATTCACAATTTTTGTTTGTTTGTTTCTTTCTTTTTGCCAAAATGCATGTCTGCCTAATGAATTTCTAACACATGATAAAAATATCAAAAGTAGATATTTTTTGCATGGATAACATTTGAAAAATGAAAGCACATGTATTTAATTTAAGCTGCAATACACTTGAGCAAAATTTCATCACTCAGACTAATGAACTAATCCCAGATTTTCATTGTTCTATACAGCTGTACAAATTTTACTGAAATATTCAGTTACCAACAGTTATTGGCACAATTAACTATATACTGTATCATCTGGTTTACAATGCAAGGTTCTTAATTAAAATTTATATAGATACATTGCTTGTTTCTTTGTATTTCAGGCAATATTGATATTATTACCGGTATTTGATACTAGTAAATATTAATTTTTAAAGTTACTTTTTATCATTTTCTTTACTATTGAATAGACCAGGACTACACTTTGTCCATTTTATGGTTGAAAAATAAATTATAATTAAATAAATGTATTAATAGTACTCCAGATATAACAATTGTCATTTGAATTTTCCAGAGCCTTAGATTTCTTTGTATAGGTGTAGAGGGGAAAAGTACATGATTCATAGAAATAAAGTGTCCTAAAATATTTTCTAGTGACATATGGATTAATCAATAATCTCTTTAATGTTACTGATTTAATACATATATTTCTCAATTATCTTATTTTTTATTTTTTTTGCAATGATTAGAATGCAGTACAGGTAATCCTCAAGTTACAAATGTAGTAGAGCCTGTGAATTACATTCATAACTTGAGAATTTATTGATTGGCTCACATTAAATGAATGGATCATTTATTAATTAAATGCACAGGTTGTTAAGTGTACATGAGGTATCTCAGGGTGGTATGACCATGGAGGGCCAAGTGCTGGAAGAGGCTACCTGCTTCCAACCACCCAACTTCTCCCCCAAGCCACTGAGATATCTTATGCTTCCTTGAGGTCCCCATAGTTTTATTAGAAGAAATATCCTTCTGGGTTCAGCTCCTGTGGGGAAAAAGACACTGGAAACATGGAGACTGCTTGGAAAGATGGTTTAATGGTGGACAGGATCACATGGTTTGAGTTCCTGAACAGAAAAGGGCCGAGATGCAATAATAAAATTTCTAATAAAAAAAAAGGGCCAATGTTACCCCCATGAAGCATGATGGATCTGTGCGCATCTGTGCCGACTATAAATGTTCAATCAACAAGGCTTTGCAACAGAGCGCATACCCAGTTCTAGTGGTGCAACATCTGCTGCATTCACTAGGGAGTGGGTCAATATTTGCCAAACTGGACCTGGCCCAGGCTTACCAGCAACTGCCAGTAGATGAAAAAACAGTGGAGGCACAACAATTGTCACCCACTGGGGCGCATTTAAATGTAACCGTCTCCAATTTGGAGTCAATGCAGCCCCAGGAATTTTTCAATCTATGATGGAACACCTTCTTCAAGGCATTCCAGGGGTGGTGCCGTACTTTGATGATGTCTTAATCTCCGGCCACTCTAAAACCCAGCTACTTGAGCGACTGAAGCTAGTTCTACAGCGCTTTAAGGAGAAGGGTTTGACAGTCAGGAGAGATAAGTGCATCATTGGGGTCCAGGAGGTCGAGTTCCTGGGCTATCTCATTGATGGAACTGGCATCCACCCCACCAAATCTAAAGTTAAGGCTATCCACGAAGCTCCGGCCTCCAAAAACAAAGCGGAGCTTCAGGCTTTCTTGGGACTACTGAATTTTTACAGTGTCTTTTTAAAACAGAAAGCCACAGCTGCTGAACCACTCCATCGCCTGTTGGGGAAAGCGGTACCGTGGAGATGGGGGACAGAGGAGGAAACAGCCTTCAAAAACATCAAAACACTGCTCTCTTCAGACAGCGTCCTAATGCAATATCACGAGACGCTGCCCCTCCTGCTGACCTGCGACGCGTCACCATACGGGATTGGAGCAGTCACCAACTCCCAAATGGAACAGAGGCGCCCATCACTTACTTTTCAAAAACGATGTTCAGCACCGAAAGGAACTATAGTCAGCTGGACAAGGAAGCCTTGGCCATCATCACGGGCATCAAGCGCTTCCATGAGTACCTGTATGGCCAGAACTTTACAGTTATCACAGATCATAAGCCACTTTTGGGACTATTTGCAGGCGACAAACCCACACCAAGCTACATGTCACCCAGGATGACACACTGGGTAATCTTCCTTGCCGGGTACTCATATACCCTAACCCACAGACCCGGCAAGACCATCGGAAATGCTGATGCCCTGAGTAGGTGCCCATCCCAGGAGCCGGTGGAAGACCCAGCCCCCACACTTGGACTATTCCACATTGACAATGACCTCGCTTGCCCAGTCACCTCCACAGACATGGCATCACAGACCCAGAAGGACCAAACGCTCAAGCAGGTACTATCTTGGGTTCTGCGCGGGTGGCCCACGGGGAAGATGGCAGAATTCGCCCCATTTGCCAGAAAGCAGCAAGAACTGGCCACTATGAAAGGCTGCCTCCTGTGGGGCGACAGGGTCGTGATTCCCAGTTCACTCCAAAATAAGACTCTAGAGACTCTGCATAGGGGGCACCCAGGCATCGTTCGCATGAAGGGGCTGGCACGAAGCTATGTGTGGTGGCCAACCCTGGACAAGGATATAGAGACCTGGTGCCAGATGTGACCCGTGCCAGGAAGTCCGCCCAGCGCCACCCCGCGCCCAGTCTACAGAGTGGGAGGCTCCCAGCAATCCATGGTCGAGAATCCACATAGACTTTGTGGGTCCGATGAGCGGAAGATACCTCCTCATCGTCGTGGATGCCTTCTCGAAGTGGCTGGAGGTCGTGCCCATGGCATCCACAACAACAGAAGCCACCACCAAGGCACTCCGGAGACTATTCGCCACGCACGGGCTACTGGATGTCCTCATTTCCGATAATGGGCCGCAGCTCACATCCAAGCCCATGGAAACGTTCCTGGCAGGACTGGGCATCCGCCATGCCATGATTGCCTGCTACAGACCGGCCGGAAATGGGCAAGCTGAAAGGATGGTGAGGCTTACCAAAGAAGCTCTCACCAAGATGGGCACCGGCGACTGGCAGGAGAGGATCGACCAGTTCCTCCTCACTCAACACATCATGCCGCACTCAACGACGCACAAGAGCCCGGCCGAACTGCTGATGGGCAGAAGACTGAGGTCACATCTGGACCGGCTGCACCCCCTGTGCAACCAGGAGGTGCCATCAGTTGCCAGCCGCCACCCCCTGCACCTTTGCCATAGGAGACCCGGTCTTCGCGCTCAATTTCCACGGGTTTCCGAAATGGCTGAAAGGAAGAATTGAGAGCACAACCGGCCTGAAGTCTTATAGAGTGGAGCTGGAAGATGGACAGGTCTGTAGACGTCACATCGACCAGCTCCGGAAAAGGTGGAGGGAAGCGGAAGGAAACCAGCCTGACGAGGTAGGCCTACAACACCCCGATGAGGTAGGCCTGCCGCTCCCCAGCGAGGAAGGACGGTGACACCCCGGCGAGATAGACCCGCACCACCTCAGCAAGTCAAGCCATCGCCGATCCAAGGGAGTAGACCGGTACCCGCAGCCTGAGGGGAGTCAGCACCGCGCCGACGAGGAGGCCATTCGCCACCCCAGCGAGGGAGACCTCCACCTCCACGACGAAGGGACAACGCACAGAGGGAGACCCGCAACCCCCTGGTGAGGGCGACCGGCCACACCCCGGCGAGGGAGACCACCACCGATGCAAGATAGTAGACCGGGGACAACCCAGACCCACAACGCCCCCGCAGAGCCAGCCAACGACTCCCCCATGAGGGAGACCACCATCACCACACCAGCAGGGTCGACCAACACCACCCCAGTGAGGTCGACCTGCACCAGCCCGACATGGTAGACAGGCGACCCCCCGGCGGGGTCAGCCACCCACCACGACAAGCCGACACGCAAGAGCAACAACAACAACAACAGCTGAGACAACAGAGCCACCAACAGAAGCTGCAAGGGGCCAAGGAGAATAAAATGGATTTACCGGACATCAGTCGTCACCCCCGGGTCGACAGCAATGCCCAGCCGTGAGGTTCCAGGGATCCCGGTCAGGGGAAGGACCAGTGCCACCAGCGGGTAAATCCAGACGATGCGGCCGGAGGTGCTGGGACAGGGCCCACACACTCGACGGCCAGACCCCAGACCCTTCCGGATCGAGAGCCGGAGGGGACAGGAGCTCTGCCTGCTCCGGCCGGCGGCGAAACCCAAATGGAACTGCGCAGGTCAGCCAGGACCATCAAGCGTCCCGCCTATCTGTGTGACTACGTGACATTCATTAGTGTTGATAGACAGACATCGAACTAGGAGGGGAGGGGTATTATGTCCTTATAAGGACATCCGCTGGGGATTGGCTAATCCACCAGCGGGAAATTCAAACAGCTGTCATTGGACGGCTGAGTCTGCCGAAGCGTATAAAAGAGCTTTGGCAGCACAGCCGTCCGCCTTCATTCAGAGCTGAAATAAAGGTACTGAATGGACCAACGCTAGTCACGTCTTCCTTTCCCTGCGCCAATCTAACAGCGAAGATGCTGAGCGTGCCTTAGTTTTATGCCCTCTCTGAGCTTTGAACCACCAGTGCAACATATCTTTCTTTACTGGGCAACTGGCGGCATCATTTGTGAGTCACGGTCAGGGCTTGGGTTTTGGATACCACTTTTTTCTGCTATCTCTTCAAGTGAGGGGATTGCCTGGGGGATTGCCCCCTCCCCCATGGAATTAGCAGTGAGATATGACTCCTTGGGCTTTTAGTGCCACAGAGCAAAAATCAACCTAGGAGAAGCTTTGTGTAGAGGTAAATGAAGGGAATAGTTTCAGTTTAATTCTGAATGGTGTGTCTGTCTCTGTGTGTATGTGTATGTAGCTACTTTTACAGTACAGGCAATACAGACATTTTGGACAATTTTCTTCCCACCAGATAGACATCCAAGGTGTACAGAACTTGCTGTGCCAGCCACTCTCAAATACAATCCTTACATGAGTACATTAGACTGATTATTATACTGTATAAATGAGACAAGAAAAAAACCTTACAATGAATTTCCACCCCCACCCCCCAATCTTTCCAGCTGTCTTCTGTGGCTTGAAAAGAGTCTTTTAGTCTTTACTTGTACATCTCAGGGTCTTTTCTTTCATGTCTGCTGGGTGGCATGCTTGGTGATAAGGCTAGTCAGTCAGGCTGGCAGATCACAAAGCACGCAACTGCATTAAGGTGGTGAAGCAGGGGCGATGGCCAGTAGCAGAATATATTGAAGAATTCTGGGACCTCAGGTGTCGTGTGCACTGGCCGGAAGATATTTTGGTGAGCTGTTTCAAGGATGGACTGAGTGATGATCTATACAATGCCTGCATGGCCCGAGGTGCACCGAATCACCTACATGAATAGTATATCACCGCCGAAGAAGCTGAGATCAATATGGCCAGAAACCAGTATCGAGCGGGGCGAG